TTTTATTGGTTTCGACCGGTCAAAAAATCGGTTAAAGCTATTATAGCTATTTTCATAATTCCTAAAACACCTGATAAAAATTGGCCAAATGATTTTTCAGCCGATTCGATTAGGTTTGTGATTTCGGCACGATAGATTCAATAAAGTCAAATTTGACTAATTTTTGGACCCTTTAAGGACAAAATTTATTATTTATTTTTGAGATTAACAATATATTTAAACAATTTTTCACATTAGCGCAAAACATGTATGAATGTACAATTTAATAGTTTTGATAGTATTTTATATACAGAAAATTTAAAAAGTATATCATCATTATATCAAAATAATAACATTACATATATGTGAAGTCAATTAAAAGATTCACAATAGGTAGTCAAATTTTTCAAATTTTTGGTATTGTACAAATTCGCCATATTGAAATATTTTCACTGGTAAATTAATAAAATAAAGTCATTTACTTCCATGCTTAATTCTCTTCTATTAGTTTTGCAGATGATTCTTTTTACTTAAATAATATCACCAATAGGGTTGTGTTACATAAATTACAATTTTATGTTACAGAAAAGCAATTTTCATATTAACTTTCACATGTCATACATAAAACAAAATTTCGGTCTGCATTATTGCATCAATTAATTTGAATATACGATCTGAAATGTAACTTCGAAAATTTGATATCAGAAACTAAATATCGTGAGTTTAAAATTACAATTATATCTCACTTTAAATATTAAAAAAAAAAAAAATTACAATTATATAAAATTTCAATTTACCGAATCTTATACAGGCGTATACAAATTTACGTAAAATTAATGTAATTTAAAAACCCTAATCACCAACATCCAGCATCTCAGAAAAATCGCTAAATTTATCTTGGCTTTCTTCATTCTTACTAACTTTCAATTGGATTTTTTCGGCCTGGTTGGTTAGATCTACAAAATCAAATCTCCGATGATGTGAAGGCAGGAAAGTCTTCTGGCAATGCTTATGAAATATTTTCTCTTGGTTGTCACTGAGTAAATGATTGAGTTTATTTTGTGACTTACTAACAGTATTGGTGTCTCCCTCACTATCTGAACCTTTAACATAATTAG